TATTACTATTACTATTACTATTATTATTATTATTATTAGTAATACAGAATCTTATGCTGGTCAAAATTCCCAACTAACCTAAACATAACGAAATGGAACTTGAACATTGTTTCTGTCCCCCTTTACTTTTTATTCATTTCTTTTTATGTTTATTTTATTTGACTTTTCTTCTTCTTTAAACTGATACCTTTTATTTGTAATTTTTTTATTTTTATAGATCCATTTATTATGTTGAATTGTAGATCTTAAAAGTATTATTTTGTTTAGATGTTAAGCTTTTATAGCAATATTTTCTAAAAAATTGCACATACTTGTAAAAAAAATAGAAGAAAAAGGAAGATAAAATATTCTCTTCGTTTCAAATTAATTGTCATTTTATTTTCTTAGGATAATATATATGAACTAAAATGACGGTTGAATTTGAAGTAAAAATAAAAGTTGGTTCTCGAAGCTACTTTTCCATTTTAATTATCACACTCTCGGTGGATTTGGTGAGTAATTATCTTGTTATTAATGTTTTAATTAAGTTCAATTAAACATGTTTACGTCATTAATGTTTCTTTCCTTGTTCAAAGATAACCTATCCACGTGTCATTTTTTCATTCGTTGTATGACTTCCGTGGCTTAATCTTAGTAGCTACGTTTCCCTAGTTTCCTCATTTACCCCTTCCATCCCTTCACCTATTAGCATCAATGTGGGCATAAACGGAATTTAACGAACTTAATGGCGTTCTTGTAATTCTAAGCAAAACTATGTCCTAACAATTTTACGCGGTATATCACACAGAAGGTAAAAACGCGGTTTATTTCTCTCCTCCACGTCAGCATTTTCACCATATAGACTATTTATGAAATTTTGACGAAACTCACTCAGCTCACTTTCTTATGGAGTTTTTGCCTCTTGTGAAAAACTTCACTTCAGAATATCTTCTCTAATTCCTAAGAATTTTTCAGATCTCCTTTCAACACTTTAACTTTTTTCTATTATATAATTCGTCAGTTCATCAGCTTATTTGCTTTTTTTTAATCACATCTCAAAACCTTGCATCTTTATTTTTCTGCTGTTAATGATGGCCGTACTTCCTGGAGAAAATCCGATCGCCGTACTTCCGGTGGATAAACAGATGGGTATACCGCCGCTGAATACTCTGCCGGTGGGATACCGTTTCCGGCCGACAGATGAGGAGTTAGTGAATCATTATCTGAGGTTGAAGATAAACGGTGCTGATAGTCAGGTCAGCGTTATTCGAGAAGTTGATATCTGTAAACTCGAGCCTTGGGACTTACCTGGTTAGTTTCCTTGCTTTAATTTTTTAGTTCATCAAAATCCCCCAATTTGGAGCTTTTTTGAACCCTAACTTTCCCTTTTTTACATTTTACGGATAGTTCATTTCTGGAATAGTTGTTGATTTCATTTCTAAAGTCTAGTGCTTTGGCTTTGTGCATAGGATCCAATTTTGTTTTATGAGTTGATTTTCGCAGCACTCTGTAGGACCTTCGTTAGTGAAAATCGCACAAGTAATTAAGTGGAAAGTGAATTTGATTTGAATAACTGATGGAAGTGGGTGAGGGGAGCTATTCTATTGAGAATTGATCTCTACCGTAGGGGAAGGAGTGTGCTGATTTGCTTTCGGATCGTATTTTTCTTGACCTCAAAATTTGTCATTTGTTACAGTAGAATGAAAGAAGGAAGAAGGACAAGAGAGTAAAATATATACTCTCTGACAGTTCCCTGTAAATCAACCTGAAAACCTTAACACAAAAAACACTTCTGATTGTCTTTTGGTTTTTTTCATAGGCCAGATCCCAAAACACCCTATATTTTGGAATGCAGAAGTTTTTTAGATTTAGAAAGTAAATAATAGAGTGAATTGGTTTGAATTGTTGCAGATTTGTCTGTGGTAGAGTCACATGACAACGAGTGGTTCTTCTTCTGCCCAAAGGATCGTAAGTATCAAAATGGGCAGCGACTGAACCGAGCAACAGAACGAGGCTACTGGAAAGCCACTGGTAAAGATAGGAACATTGTTACTAAGAAGGGCGCAAAAATTGGGATGAAGAAGACCTTGGTATACTACATTGGTCGAGCTCCTGAAGGCAAGAGGACTCATTGGGTGATTCATGAATATCGTGCAACTGAAAAGTCATTGGATGGATCACACCCTGGCCAGGTATGCACATCCTTTATCCATCTTGTGCCTTGGATTTGTATTTCTATTTTCTGTATAAAAGATTGATTGCATCATGGTGCAATTATTGGTTGCTTTGATCAGATTCCACGATGTAATTATATACATAAGATGTTGCTTAGTTCACGTAAATAATGCCTTGTGCAATACGCTGCATAGTCATGTAGTGGGTTACTTGAACATATGTTGTTGGTTAGTTCTATTTAATTTGGTTCTTTCTGTTTTTCAGGAGTCACAAAATAGTTCATGTACTTGCTAATTTTACAGCTATAGAAATTCATTTAATGGGTTTGTATTATCAACCCCATGAACTGGTCATGTAAGGATTCTATTTCACTAGAGGGGAACAAGATTCGTGATATTATATATTGCTACAAAAATCAAAATATTTATTATATGAACTCTTTTTTGTGCTTGGTTATTTTGGTGGATTATATGTTCTGCAAACATGAATTGTAATTACTCGTTGCAAAATTGAAGATCCTCAGTAAACATCCACATGAGGATTTTTTCATGAGGCTCTGGAATTGTAACAATAATAGCATAACTAGATGTTGGATTTTTCTAGCTTTGTATTTTAGAAGACATTTTATAGATAAACTCCTTTTGTAAGATTTTATTTATTTTTTAGTTCTTCCCTAGTTAGTATAGACTTGTGAAGTGCCTTACATTTAGGGGTCGTTTGGTGTGATGGGATAAAAAAATTGTATCTTGTTTGGTTGCCATGTTTTGGATAACTTATCCCACCATTCATATCATAGTGATGGGATAAGTTATCCCATATACATGGTGGAATAAGTTATCCCACCATTGAAATATGCTGCAAGCGCTCTCACAATTAATGCTAATTCTTTAGTTTTTTTTAGATGTCCCAATTAATGAGTTACGGATCCAAAGCATCTACCTATCAAAAATAAATTGATAAACTTTGTATCTGCGTGGTACTTCTGAAATTGACTCTAGCACACTTATATTTCTATTGTTATTAGTGGTGAAGCAATGAAAATTAGTTCATACTGGGAAATGTGATTTGCCTGTTGCAGGGTGCCTTTGTGCTTTGTCGTCTGTTTAGGAAGAATGATTTGAAGCAGGATGAGCATGTTGAAAATTCCAATTTAGATGCTGAACAGAATGCTTCAGTTGACAAATCACCTGCTGAAGATGAATTATCAGAGGCAGCCACTCCATTAATGGTCATACAACCTTTAAGTGATTGTGATAAAAGCTATGCTGCAAAGTTTTCCAAAGGCGAGATGTATGGCAAACAAATACCCATTGAGAGTCACAGCAACAGCTGTATTGCTGATGATACTGAAGATCAAATGTTGGACATAACATCCATACCGGTAAGTTAACCTACATCAGGATTCTACTTTTTGATTGAGTGGAAAGCGATTTATCGTGGATTAATTTGGTTGAAGTGATTATTTTCTTTTTCTGCTTCATGTTTAGCCGGTTCAAGATCTAGAAAAGGAGTTGGGAAATTTTTATGACCCGTCATCACAGCCAGATTGGAAGATCTTCTCCCCATTGCACTCACAGATGCAGGTGGAGCTTGGATCGTCTTATTTGCAAGCCCCCTTTAATAATGACATCTGTGGTTATCAAAAAGATGTCCAGTTTCCGTATGGAACAAATGCTCTTGAGATTAATGACTTTTTGAACTCGATACTCGTCAACTCAGATGAGCTCTCATGTGAAGATTCTGGACAAGAATTGGCTTCACATCATATTGACACAAAAAATTACAGCATAACTGGCCCGATGATTAAGGACTCTGGATCATGTAGTGAGTCAGAAGCAGAAGTTACCCAAGGGCAGGTGAGTGGAACCATGTATTGCATCAATTAATCTGTGTCACTTGTTAGAAAGTTCTGTTAAGTAGCTGATCTTATGCTGCTTTTCTTTTTATCCCAGGTTGATCCAGGCTTCTTTGATCCTGAGGTGCTGTGGGACAATTTTGATCGAGAGGCTGCAGTTAAGAGAGAGGTTAATTCCCTTGAACATACAGTGCTAAAGGCGCGTAGTCCACTAGGTCCATCTTATGATGGCAATGATTATGCTGTAGGAAATCTAGGTTTCTTTCAAAATACCTACCCTGGACATTATGGTTATCCTGCTAGTATTGGTGGAAGTCAGGTCCCGAACTTCCTAAAAGTAGAACAGTCCGGTGTTCGCAATAATGTAGTAAGCACTGAATCTGGCTCAGGAACTGGAATAAAACTCAGGACCAGGCAAATGCATAATCAACCTGATGACACGCAGTCTAGACCACAAGGAACTGCTCACAGAAGAATACGTTTAGGAGTGAAAATGCAAGTTGGGCCAGTTGAGTGTCGCATGCGCTCTGTTTCTAGTCAGGGGGCAGAAATTCATCAAGCAGTGGCTGAGGTAAGCCTCTCTATTCCCTTTTTTTCTCCTAATGTTTTTAGCTTCTTTCTTAAATTAGAAAATATAACACGAACTATCATGTTGGGATTGTGCAGGGTGAGAAAGCCTGTGATGAACATAGTTCTACCACCAGTGATAATACAACACATAAAGATCTTGAGGGAGTTGTTGGGGAAACTGATGAATTGAGCACTCGAGTGAAAGATGCAGATGATTCTCCAGTTCAAGAAAGTCTTGATGTGTCTTTGAAGACCGCTACAAAGCTCTCAAGTTCATCACACGTTTACATGTCCAAGGTTCTTGTGGTTGCAAGTCTGCTTGTGGTCTTTATTGGTGTTTGGGGTTGCTTTAGACTGTGTGTGTAGTGTGCGTGTACTTGTATTTATAGATTCCCAATATATAATGGGTATGTATTCAGGGTAGCATGAACTGACCGTTCCTCTTTGTTTAATTTAACGTTGTATGTTTATTGCAGCAGGAACTTGAGTTGAGACATTAGAGATTGCTAGTGTATATTTTGAAGAGCTTGCTCGTTATGTACATGTTTCTTGTAGAGTAAGATGTTAGTATTGAGTTTTCGTGCCAATTTTTTTATTATGGGATTTTAACTCTCACCCTGTTGAATCCCCTTCCCTTGTCTTTTCACATGGAAACACCAAAACAAGAATCTTGGGGTTCTTACCAAGATTTATGACGATCTAATTAACTTCTAATTTGTATAACTTCAAAGATGCGTTAGTAACAAGTTAGCTGAAGGGCAGATGTAAATGAATGGAAAGTCTATATAAGAGGAGAACTAGAAACTCATAAAACAAAAAAATTGAGCAGATAATGTGTTTTGTTTATTAATAACACGTTCCTTACTATTTCAACAAGGAATTGAATTTTAAAGATAGCATGTTAATCAAGAAAAATAAAATCTTATAAATCATATGTCGGAGAAAAAGTTACAAACAAGAGCCAAAAAAAATAATAAAAATAGATGTGGGGTGAGAGAGGCTCGAACTCTCGACCTCAGGATTACTCAGAAGCTATGAGACCTACGCGCTAGCCAACTGCGCCACCACCCCGTTGTTTGTTATTCATCTAATTATTATTGTATTCTATATGTCTCGTTCACTGTACAAATGCATTATTATTGTACATCATATTAATTGAATTCTACATATGTAGATTGCAATAGCAATAGCACTAGTAGATTGAGAAAGAGAGTTTAAATGCAAATGTAACATAATTCCAGAGGATCAAAATCTCTTTCAATATATAATGCCACACTAAAATGACTTGGAATTCCACTATGGGCTGCATTTCTTCAATCAAAATCATGTGAAAACTAACAAGGTAAATCTTGAACGATGATAAACATGACAACAAACATAAATAATCTATCTATCCATAGAAACCTAATGTTGAATCACCTGACCTAGGACAATTTATTAATAATTCCTCCTTTCCAAAATCATACTTGTTTTACTATAAGAAGTTTTACGCCATTAATTAAGTCATTTTTAAAGACATTTAATTAGTGGTAAATTCGTTAAAAAACACTGTATTTTCTAGGAATGAGTAGTTTCATAGAGACGAGAGGGAGTTGCTCGGATGGTAAGCACCCCTCACTTCCAACCCGAAGGTTGCAAGTTCGAGTCACCAAAGGGGCAAAAGGGGTGGGAGCTCCTAGGGAGGGTAAAAAAAAGGTAGTTTCATAGAGGGTATGCTCAAACTAAAAACACCACTTATTTTAAAACAGAGAAAATAAATGTTTTGTCCTTCATTAAAAAAAAACAATTCAATTTGGTCACGAAGTTGGTCCAAAAAAACATGTAACAAAGCATGGTCAAGGATCTTGCTTTGTTGTAACCTTTAAGCTAATAGTGGTGCAACCTTTTGGTTATTTATTAAGTACCCCCTCTGTTACTAATCACTTGTCCATTTTTTCTTTTATAGTTATCCTTAATTACTTGTCTATTTTGACAAATCAAGAAAGGACAAAATAATTTTATATATTATAACCCTCAATTAATTATTTTGAAAAAAGTGGAATTTCTTGAAAATTTTAAATTTTTAATTCATCCACTTCATAATTAATAGGGGTAAAATGGTAAACTCACTATTAGGGCCGGCTCTTGCCTTTGTAAAATAAAACTTATGCCTTAGGCCCCCAAATTTTGGGGCCCCAAATTATTATCAAGAATAAATTATGTGTTAAATTTTTATAGAAAAAATTGATTAATTATGATAAAAAATATCTTATTTTACCCACTTTAACATCTTTTATACTTTGTTAAAAATAAGAATTAATAGTGAAAAGTGTTGAACAAAGTACAAATTCTTTTTTATTTCTTTTTAAATTTTAGTTTCAAACATTACAACACGCATATTAAAATGGTGTATACCAAGTCATCAACTTCTTGAATCAGATTCTGTGGTTCTAACTTTTATCTTTATTTAATATTTGTCAACTTATTACTTATAAAATTATGTTAACAATTCATATAATAATCGCCTCACTGAAAGGATGTTTTCAATGTTGAGTTGATAAAATCTTACCTAAAATCAATAACTGAAAAACAATATTAAATACTAATAATTTTCATCTAAATAGTGTAAGAAAAATAAATTTGAATAAATATGTATACAAAATTTGTTTATATCTTAGGCCTCAAATTGAAATTTCGCTTTAGGCCCCCAATTACGTTGAGCCGCCCCTGCTCACTATGTCACCAATTACGTTGAACCGCCCCTGCTCACTATGTCAATAATTGCTTTCTTAATAGGTGTGTCAATTTAAAAGTGAACAAGTAATTAGAGACAGAAGGAGTAACTTTATACATGATACAGGATGAAAAGGGAGAAATTAATGAGGGAGAGTGCATGCACTAGATTCTAGAGTCTAGATATCCAAAATTGCCTGATATCACTCACTTGTCATCCTTATGTTAATTTGAGGATAGTTTTAGAGGATGTTTGAATCGATTTTTTAAAAATAGCTTAGCATACTGCTATTATAATATCAAATTATATTTACTTTAATTTCACGATATGAGAGGAAGATCAGTCCTCGGGTTCAGGGGAGGGGGGGGGGGGGGGAGCTAGTGTATTATTTACGGATTCTCTAGTAGCTTTTGATTGGAATCTGTAGTTGGATTAGGAAAATTCATTAAATACTAAAATGAGGCATAAGTTCGATAGTAAATTCAATGACCCATAAATTTTAAATCGTCACTTGGCCTCTTCTTGGATTTGTATCTAGTGGTTCGTGATTAAGATAACAAGAGAAGGAAAATCGAGACGGAAAACCACATATGGTGTCACTATATCAAAAAAAATCTTTAACGACAATTAATTAATGGCTACAACCTATAGTCATGACATTGAGTCTAATAATAATTAATTAGGGTAATGCTAAATAGCCAGAAAATTTGGCCAGAAATTTAGAAAAACTATAATATCTTTTTTATTTTAAAATAAATTGATCTTTTTTCCATTTTTTAGTTAAAATGTATTAAAGTTAAAAGGGTAAAAATGTTCAAAAAGGTAAAATAACATAGATAAAATATCATTCTAGGGGAGAGTGACATGCCCGACGCATCAAATCAAACGACCCATTAAATGTAATATGAATACACCTAGCTAGATATTCCTGGCACGTCGTTTAGTTTATGCATTGTGTTCACTGTTTACATTTAATTTGATCGTTACCTATTCCAATTCCAATGTAAATAAATAAAGATAAGGTGGATGTTGCATGTATAAATTGTAGTCCAATAACTGGTTTCCTCATCAATAATTTCAAGGTACTACCTAAATTGTTCGCGTTTGTTATACATTTATCAGATTGAGTTTTGAGTTCCATGGCAAACTCTAGTTCTAGAAACAGAGAGTTAAAACAGTGTATTTTCCTAGAACCGGACACTCCAGAGCTACCTTCCAAATGTGTCGTCTTTGAGATTGTACTGCGTAAAGCTAACGCTGCAACAGACAATCGGGACACTAGTGCCTTTGTGGCCAATTTACTTATTCTACTGAATTTTGGTTTTAAAGATGTGCTTACCAACAGATTAGCTGAATTAGGCATTACTGAAATAAAGACCGTCAAAATTCCTTCCCAGGCAGAGGAGTACATCATGTTGAGCGTTATTTTAGCCTTAATGATACGTATGTTATTTTTGGCTGCACCGTACTGATACATCAGTCGAGCTAACTATGACAATTTCATGACCAAAAGGATTAAGGCAATGTGTTCTAACGTTCCGTGTTCATGTAATAAAGTTTATAGTTGGGGGTATGATATACTAATTAAAAAATAAAAATAAATTAAGCATATAAATTTACTTTCCACTATTATCCTTTTGATTATTCTCAAACTCTTTTCTAAAAACAAAACTAAGTAATTAAGAACCTATTTAAAAGTGTAAATATGCAACAAAAAAAATTGAACTTATTAAATTTAACTGAGAATTATATTAGATATTGAATAGTATTTAATTAGCAAGGGTAATGTAGGCACAACAAAAATATAATTTTTTTATTTTCCAAATTGGACAAGTATTGTTATACAATTATTTTCAATATAATGGACCAGTAAAGATGAATAGAGAGTATTAAAATAGTTTCAACAAGTCACTTTATATGGACTAGAGGAAATAGTTTTATCCCTATTTGTTACAAACTAAAAAAACTTCCTCCAGTCCCTATTTATGTTTAATAGAGGAATCATTTTCTACATTTTTAAGAGAATAATTTGAGAATAATTAAAAGGTAATAGTGTTTAGTTTTTGACACCCAAAAGTTCAGTTACTATGGAGTATGGACTAGAGCTTGTAATTGTTTCAGTTTATTGTCCAATTTATGTAATATAAAGAATTTTGCTACTATATTTTTCAATTTTTATCTTTACACGTTGTTTGGATGGTTGTTATCCATTATATTGTATTGTTAGTGTGAATATAATAAGTATTTGTTTTGATTGTTCTAAAATTTAATTATATCGTATCGTTTAAATTTATTGTTAGGTAACGAGTAACGACGAAAAGACTCATTTTATGTAACATAAATTTGGTGTGTTCGGGTCGTTACCTTAATATATTTTTTTATTTAATAGTTATATTTCATCTTTTATCTTACCTTTTCACTGTAGCTTTGCCCGCGCACCCTATTTTTTTTTTATCGAGGTTTTATAATTCAAATTATGAATGTGTGACACTATGTAATAATTGATAATAGTACAATATTCTATCCAAACATTGTATTTATCAAAGCAATACAATAATAGTGGAATCAAGTTTAAAATTTCAAAGAATTTTTAGCAAGTCTTTTTTTTTAGTATAAATACATTTCCTATTAAAGTTTTTTTTAAGTAGTGACA